TATTTTTTAATTTTCGGTTCAGCTTTGGCTTGCTGTATTTTCACCCCATTTCTATGTGCTAATGCACTGAAGACTTCCTTTGAAAACCATTATGGGAAGAATATTTGTTTGTTGTTGGTCTCATTCAGTTTGTGGTAAAGGAATTATGTCAAGGTTGGTTGGTCTGAAATGAGTCCCACCTTCTTTGCAAAGTCCATGGATCATAATTGTTGGTATCTGTCTTGTTTCCAAGATACGGTCTGTTGGCTCTGTTCCCTTAAAATAAGGATAACCAGCGGGCTCATACAAACACATTTCAAACAACCCTACAATAACAAATGGCTAATCACGAAAAAGGGAGCAAATTCTGGAAGCAGGCTTCCTGGGAGCTAGTTTAAACATTTTTTAAATGACAAATACAGTGTACTTTTGCGGGTTGATATCACTCATTTGACATCAGTTTCAAGTTTTCAGATAACTTATTACAACTTGAGTACAAAACCCTGTTTGCTACCTCCCTTATCAGTGGGTGTAGAATTAGTTGCCTATCTTAGGTACTTATATGGCCCTCATTACAAAAATACAGAGATACCTAATATAATGTATTTCAACATCATTGTGAAATAGAAAAGTTGAACTCCATTTTGCCAGTGGGATACTCTGGCATGGGCAGTCTAAGTGACTTACCCGTGGTAGCACAGGAAAAAATGTGAGATGGGATATGTGGGTTTATGTGTCTGCCCCAAAGTGTCCGAATAGCACCCATCCACGCTAACTAAATAAAAGGAGAAACCACAAGGCATGCAGCTGTCCCACCTTATATTCTCTATTTATTTTTTTTTATAGAATTCTCTATTTATACCAGTTTATATTTTCATTCATGAAAGAAATTAAGCCATGACTCCCTATCGTGCCTGTAGTCATGTCTTTGTTATTTCATTGTCACTGTAAAAAAGCAGGAATTGTAAACACAGAAAACAATGCCAAAATGAAGTTAAGGAAATCTGACGTTAGAACTGACACGCCATCCTGAATTCACTCTCTTGTGTCCCTGTGTGGCTGATTTGTTCACAGTATAAAGATTAGAGTGAATAAAAATCTGCTGCTATAGCCAAAAAAAATGTCACGTGAAGTTCTTCAGAAACATGAGTTTGACTATTTTTGTATTCTGAGGGGGATGACAATACAGAGTCATAAGACTCATTCTTTATATTTGAATTCCTAAAAATAACACGGGAAAATGAAACGTTGCTGTCCCAAACAGGAAGTAAGGCAGTGCTAGAAGGGAAAACTGGCTTACATGACGTAGGCATTTAGCTGGACTTGAAATAGTGATTAGCCTCCTAACATGAAAATAAACATAAAGTTTCCAGACTTTATAGTAGGAGAGAGGAACTGCCTGTTTTCCTTCAGTTTTCAGAGAGGCAGTTTTTAGAGATGTTACTGCAGTGGATAGATTTATGAAAAGCATCAACCTGTTTAATGACATGCAGGATTCATAAGAATTAATTAATACCAAAAATGCTGGCCAAAAATAAGTAAAAAAACCATGTGTAACAGGCTAGGACCCCAAGGGTGGCCCCTGATGCCCCCTGACGGTCATGCTGCTCCTATTATATCCTTGGCCCCTTAAGCATTCTCCCCTTTCTGCTTGCCTGTCATGCCATGATGGAAATAAATACTTAGAAAAGGGAGGCTGCCTTTGGGATCCTTGAGCAAGATCTCATCCACTCCTATGCTTAGGTGTCATTACTCAGCAGTACCTTGGCCCCCGTCTTCTGAGCCCTGAGGGCTTAGTACATGGCTTCAACTGCCCTATACACCTTGCAGATGTCACTGTTTGCTATCTAGCTGTCTGTCTCTGCTTATACTTAGGCACTTCGCCCATCTTAGCTGCTCCTGGGTAAAGCCCTGGGTCCCTCACCCTAATCCTATCCTTCTTGAGGCATTGTGCCCCTGGCTCTGACTCTCCCCTTCTCTGGGCTGTGGGTCCCTAATCCTGTTGGTCTCCAGTGGTGGTCCTCCCAGCCTTCAGTCCCTCTTCCTACACCCTGACCCCACTGCTAGGCCAGTTGAGATCTCTGGCTTCCCTGGCCCCAGCAGTTTCTCAGCTTTTGACCCCTCCTTGACCTTTGGCCCCTCCCAGGCTCTGGCCCCATTCCTAGGCCAGATGAGACCTCCTGGCTCCCTGGCCCTGCTTGCCCTCCTGGGCTACTAGTCCCTGGCTCTGCCTCTCACCCCTTGCAGTCCCTGACTCTCCTTGCTCTCATCACCATTTGGCTGTGGTCCTGCTCTTTGGCTTTGGCCCCTATCTTCTGAGCCCTGGCCCCGTTCCCGGGCCAGCTGAAACCACCTTTCCTCCCTTTGTCTTACTCCCCAAACCACTGGTTTGCTTACCCCGGCTTAGGTGTTTGTCAAGAGCCTAGCTGCCGCCCTGCTGTTCAGGTGTTTTTCACATCTTGGCTGCCAGGATCAGACTACCACCTCAACTCAGGCTTTGGGCTTATATCCTGTTTGGCCAGCCCCTTTTGGGTCCTGTGGCTCCTGATTGCCAGTCTTAAGCACCAGCTGACTGCTCCATCTGCAGTCTGTCTTCTCTTAAAACAGCAGGAGCACCAAGCCTCCTGCTACATGTTAATATGTTTAATATATGCATACATTTTTACATGTTAATAAATTATATTTTAAAACCATTGTCTACCCTACATAGTTTGAACTCTTAAAAAAATTTTGTTTGCACATGATTAAGCTAGATTTACACTGGTTTGAATTAGGTAGTACTGTAATGGCTCCATTTAAGTCACTCCAGTCTTGGATCATTGTAATGGAGACAATGATCTGGCTCATTGCCTTCCGTTCAAGACTGTAGCACTGGCTCTGAGCCTGACTTTTTTTGAGAAGGGGACTATTCTCATGAGCTTTTAGAACCTTTCAAAGTGGATTGATATCTTATTAATTAATAGGTTTGTTTTTTTCCATCATGGACTAAATTCTCTCCAGATGGAGTTATCACTAGTCATTGAGTCCAATTCCTGCAAGTTATTCTGCATAGCTGCCCATAGCTGCCTCACTGCAGTGTCAGTGGCATCATAGCCATAGTTGACTAAAGATGTATTGTTACATCCTTGAAGCTTATGTTCTCTGTCTCCTGTTCTTCTTTCCCCTCCCCTATTCTCAAACTCGTTTTGTACATTAGATCACCAAGTATATGCTTCCTAATTGCTTATGAGCCAAAATTAATAAATAGCCCTTGTGTCATCTTCATGGCTAAAATTGTTCAATAACTCTGAGGATTACATGCAACATTTTACTTTGAAGGACAGAATGTAAGTGTTTGGACCAGTGTGGTCTTCTAAAAGTTTAGAGGGTAGACAGTACCTCTGGCTCAAAAGGAATTTTAAGTTTTGGATGTGTAAACTTCATATCAAACCCTAAATGGTAATGTCCATTATAGTAGGAGCTATAAATGTACAAACAAACAAAAATATATAAACAGAAAATGCATTCATTTCTCCATTCCTAGTTTACAAGTGGAATTAGAACGTGCTACAGAGGAGGTAAGGGCACCAAAAATTAATGTATTTTCTGAAAGATACCCTCATGTATTAGCAGTTGCTTTCAGAAACTGTGTTAGCCCAGGTGAAGTTACATTAATTCAACCTTGTCTTTTAGGGTAATGTTTCCTGCATTTCTCTTTAAATGTAACTGTTTCTACTTTTCTACTGGCTTTTCTGATGCCATGACTTGTAAGTTGCTTGAGATAGTTGCAGGCAAGAGAAAATAAAACAAATAGTTCTCCCTTTTAGATAAAACAAGTTTTTTCTTTATACATCTAGAATTTTGAGACATTATGTCCTGTAGTGAAGCAGGCACATGATGTGTTTTAGAATTCAAATCCAAAGCAAGCACTGTGCATTATTCAAAAGCCAAATCTTAGTGTCTTCCAGATAAACTTCAGAAGGCAAGTTGTTTTGAAAAGAAACATCCATCACTTCAAAATACTCTGCTTTAAATCTGAATGAAACTAAATTCTCAGATCTCTGAATGCTACAGGCCTTTTTGCAGTGATTAGTTGGCTAATACCACTGACTTTAGCTACCATTTAGCTGAAATAATTTTTGTTTCTTTAGTTTTTTGCATTAAAAATACTTTGAGACCTTGCTTTTTCTATCTACTCTGACCTTAGAAAATCCAGTTTAAGCTTGAAAGAAAATGTGTCCTTGTCATAAAAAATGAAATGCATGGTATGTGCTGCCACTCTGAGATATTTCTTGCTTTGAGGGTAGTTCACCATTTGAATAAAAAACCTAAGTGTATTTGAGTGTGACCTTGTATTTCACATCCCTGAATACTACATCAAGATCAGTTCATTTTATACAACTTTTGTATCAAGCAGATTTTATTGACTTTACTCATATTGAAAATCATAATGTGGAGCTGATAAAAATATGAAAAAATGTGTAAAGCCTCTGGTTCAGCTGGGTCCATGTGATCTTGTCTTGAATGGTTGTAATAATGTAATATCACTGAGTCCTGCCATTACTATAAAACACACTGTCCTGAGACTAATGCTAGGATTAGTTGTGCCCTGAAGTTCCACTTGAAGCACCTCTTCTTTTTGTAAGCTACAATACATCTGGATGTATAAATTTATATACATGTATACATCTGTATACCTTTATGATAAAATTCTTCTGCTCCTACAAGTAACTCAAGAAAAGGGATTATGCAATCTTTCCAAAACCATTCAAAGTGTTTCACAGTTTTCATTTGTAAGTAGTCCATTCCTCATTTAAAACAAAGTAACTTGGTAGCAGGTTTTGTCATAATTTTACTTTACAGTGTTAGTATATTTTTTCAAATGCAATATTAAGGGATAAACACCTTTTCCCTAAGAGTGAATATTTAAGCATCATAAGAAACCAAATCTGATTGCTTATGTCCTAAAGTATCCATCAAAGTGCCAAAAACTGCCTGGTCCTATGAATTATTTCTCTACAGGAGTCAAATATGTTAGCATAATTTAAAGATGATGGCCAGCTGGACTTTTCAGATGCAATGAAAGAATAGTATTTCTCTCCAATTTCTCTCCCTGCTTATTGATGTGAAGTGATTTTTGTTAATTAAGCTGGAAGCTCTTAAAGAATCCTACAAAAATAGGTTTAGGATGGATCTCAAGAGGTCATCTAATCTAGTCTACTGCTCCAGGCAAGATCATCCCTGTGTTAAACCATTTCAGTACAACAAAACCCTTCCAATAGATTTGAGTCTCCTTGGAACAGTAATGAAGTTGCAAAGCAGAGACATAGCAGAGTATCTGGACCCTTGTGTTTTGGAGGCATTCAGCATGATGCACGTAACCACAGGTACTCCTGTTGTACGTTTCTTCTACAAAAAATAATGGATTGCAATTTATTTGTGTTTAGGCAAGACTCGGAGGACCTGCCTTCTCCCCACACAATCAGCAAGTGAGCACAGCTTTAAGGGCTTCAACAGAAACCAACTGGCAAATTATCCAACACTCCCTTTGACTAAATCAGTAGAAGCTCTTCAGCAAGGAGAGAGAGAAACCCAACTGAGCTGCATGCATCATGCTCTGAAGAGCAGTGTCAAGCCTCCAAGTATTACAGGTCTGAAGAAGAACCGCAGAAGTTTACCAGTTGCTGTCTGCCGGAGCTGTGAGACTCTGGATGGCACCCAAAATATTGAGATGTGGCCAAGATCTCATTCCCTGGATGACCTCCAAGGAGAATCCAGCACTGACCTTAAGGACATTAGCAAGAAAGTAAACTCTTTTCCTCAGGATTCACTAGATGCATCCAAAAAGACAACTGATTCTGTCCTGCCGCCTCGGGCCCCCATGGGCTGTAGTATAGCAGGCAACTTACTACCTAAGCAGAGTAAAGGAGCTGCTGATTTTCAGAAGGGAAAAGCTAAGGAACTGGTCTGCTCAGCAACAGAGACTGCTCAGTTCCTGCCTAAAAACTGTGAAGCTCACCCTACTTTAGTTACACACACTGTAACAAGGACACATCTGGAAACTCATAGTAAGGGCATTCGTGAGCTTGAAAGGGTTGACTACTCTCCAGTTCTTAAGGAAGGTCTAGGAGCTGAGCAAAAGGGCTGCAGTGAGGCAAGAATGCAGCCCAAAAATCCTTCACAGCCACCACCAGTCCCTGCCAAAAAAAGCCGAGAACGCCTTTCAAATGGGTTATATCATTCCTCCATGCCCCTAAGTCCAGATGCACCAAGTTTGCCAGTAAAAAAGACCATACCATCCATCCCCATCGATTGTCGTGGAGCACCTGCCAGTAGGCCATCTTCTGAGCCAGACCCTGGTACTCCTCCAAGCCCACTGCCACCATGGCTATCTGAGCTTCCAGAGACTGCTTGTGTTCAGCAGCATGTGGTAAAGCTAGGGCCTGTTTCAGCAAGGAAAATCTCTTGCACTAGAGGAATGGATCTGGAAATGTTGATAGACAACAAGTTGCAGTCTGAGGAGATTGATCTCACGGAGGAACCATATTCAGACAAGGTATGGAGAAGTCATTGCTTCAGCAGTTTAACTGTGATATTTACAACAACTTGCTCTTCCTTTATTGCCCTTATTGCCTTATTTGTCAGCAACTGGGCTATTTTTCTATTTGTAAAACTTTACGAAAGGCACCCTACATCTAGTCTGCTCTTTGTGCATCAGGCCTTTCATGCAAAACCTTTTAAAACAAACAGGTATTTATTACCTGGCTTTCCTGAATTTTGCATCCTCCTTGAGCTGAGGAGTTTCAGGGATGGGGCTGTCTCTTTTTCCAGCAACTGGGTGGGAGGGGGAATGGAATCACATCCCCACCTGGCAAGAGAGCTGACAGAGGAATCGCTGGCAGACATTCAGTTACAGGTGCAATGAGATCTGATCTGCGATCTCAGCAATGGTGCCTCCTGCCACGCTTGTGACAAGAGGTGTATTATGGAATCAGATCCCAATTGCGTCCTATTGTCAGTGTAGGGGGAAGCCTGGGATCCCTGCAGAACAAAAAACAATCTTTCAGTTAATGGGGATTAAGACGAGATGGCTTCCTGAGCATCCTTAGGATGCTCTTGCCTCTTTGGGTCGCTGTTGGAGGCAGGAAGCTGAACTAAAAGGAAGTGCTAGATTGATAGTTTTGAATACAATTGCCAGGGCATTCCTAGATTTCCTTTCACATTGCACAAAGAACCAGGAAACCTCAAACTTTTCTGACTAGTTCAGTATTTCCCAACTGAGGTGCTGCAGCACCCTGAGGTACCTTGAGATCCTTTCAAGGGTGCTGCAGGGTGTCACACAATGTTAGCATTGCAAGGTGTGCAAATAGGATTCACAATATCAGCCCAGAGGGCACATCCAGATGAGCACAGCCGTGTGGTATGTGGCACCGCAAACATGTCTGCAGCACCACATAATGCACAGTCCAGTGTTCTCTGCGCTCCAGGGGCGCACTGCCTGTGTATGCGCTGCTCCAGTTTTTTTTTTCCATGGGTTTTTTTGACCCCTGGATATCTGGGTATTTTTTTTGTGGGGGTTTTTTTATCCCTAGATATCCAGGAGTCAAAAAACTCACACAAAAAAAAACCCGGAGCAGCACACGCTCAGGCGACGTGCACTGCTGAAAAGTGAACCCGGGCCTCCCAGAGCCATGCTGTGGCTGCCAGCCAGGCTCTGTGCTGCAGGATTGCCATGGCTGCAGCCCTGGGCGCCCCCCAGACTCTAGGTAAGGCTGGTGGAGCCTCCCCTACCGCTCCAGGGGTAACTTGCTGTGTGCCAAAGCGCACGTGGCACAGGCGTTCCCTGTGGACAAGTAGCTACGGCGCAAGGTGTGCCACTGCTACTTGTCCCCAGGGAATCAAACGTCTACGCTTGTCTGGATGCACCCAGAGATTTCAAATAGGAATCCACCGTGTCCAAAACCTTCTGACCTGTTGCAGTCTTTCTGAGTACTTTGCAACACAAGATTTGTTCTTTCACTTTTCTGTAGTAAAAAAGGCTGCTTGCAGACATTTTAAAAATTCCCCAAAACGGTGCTTTAATTTAAACTTTGCATGCTCCCACGCTGAACCCAGTGCATGCCCAGAAGAGGCATCATGTTATTTGGACCCAGCTCACCTAATGTCTGTTTAGATCGGATGCTTTAGTGGGGCTTTTTTGGCACTTATATGTAATAGCTAATTGAATCATCTTTAGATAAAAGTGCCAGAAAGCTCTGCTGAAGCACCCAGTCTGAACAGACAGAGCTGGGTTGACATAACACACTGCTTCTTCTGGTAAAGCATTTTTTTGTGTTTGTTTTGTTTTTTTAAATGTCTGCAGGCAGCCAAAATGAGTGAAAGCTAAGAGCTGGCATTTTCCAAGGGGTTTCTTGAGTCTAACGCAGGGTGCCTGGAGTCTAAAAAAGTTGAGAACCACTAGACTAACCCTAAAATTATCAGATGATCTAGTCAAATTTAAATAGGAAAATGCTTGCTTCCCTCTGAGGGCAGTGATACACACATGCTCTGGGAGTGCATGAATTGAGCGCCGTTCTAATTAAAGCATCCAGAGCCTGTCATGTATCTGACATGATGAAAAATGGTAGCAGGGGTGCTTTCACTAAAGCTGGTTGAACAAGCTTTAAATGCCCTCATAGGGAAACATGCATTTTCACGTTTAAATTTGACCAGATATTTTGATAGTTTTAGGGTTAGTCTAGTGGTTCTCAAGTTTTTTAGGCGTCAGGCACCCTGCATTAGACTGGAGTCTGCTGGACCATGGTAATTGCCACACTCCAGCAGACTCTATTAATTGAGTTTACTCCAATGCGCTGTACATCAGAGCAGCCTCACTGCATGTGTATAGGTGCCCTGAGTGACCAGAGGCAGATTTTGCTGGAAGTATTAATGGCAGATACAAACTTTAACTGAAATCCAATTGAAGCCAGTGGGAGTTTTGCTGAGCATGCTGAATGGTGAAGGCTACCTGTAGAATTGTCCCAACTCCCCTCTCCCTGCATAGAAACTTTCTAAAGCTAAATGAAACTGCATGTTTTTTAATCCCTGGAGAATTATAGTTGTTCTAATAAAAGATACCAGATTAACCCAAAGAACCTTTTCTGGAGAATCTAATGTTCTCCACAACCCTTTTTGTTTTCTGTGTTTTGACCTGTACTGCTTCTATCTGCCTTTCTTTCCATCTTCCATTTTCCTTTACGGCTGCATGGGAATTTCCAGCATGGCCGCTGTGGAATCCCTGAAGCTTTGGTGCAGAGATACTCTGAAGACCTAGACCAGCCTGAGAAGGATGTTGCTGCAAACATGGACCAAATCCGAGTGAAGCAGCTGAGGAAACAGCACCGCATGGCTGTGAGTGTCTCTGCTCGTTGCTGATAAACACACATTTAATATGAACTAACTGATGGCAAAAGATAATGGATTCGTCACCCTGGATACTGAAGTGCTTTCTGTGTTTACACAACACACAGCATATGCACTGGCAGTACAAACCACCCCTCCCTGACGTTGTGCTGGAGGAGAACTAATTTTCAGGCTGAGATGAATTGAGTTTCCCTGCCTATTCAATTTGTATGGCTGATGAGACTGCTTATGCTGGTATCAACTAATAACAAAAAAGGATAAATGAATAGTGCTTTCTCCAGTTATCAGTTGATGCCCATGGGATGGTGTTTGCTTAGATTGTAGACACCCATTTACTAAGAACTGAAGTGAGTTCAAAGCCATCTCTCGTAAGCTTTTACTGCAAAGGAAAGATTCTAGCAAGCATCTCAGTGTCCACTGCTGCCTCTTCTGAGATGTTCCCCTGCTCTCCACCTTTTCCTGCCCTATTCCCCACCTTTACATGCCTAGTGTTTTGGCTTATCAAAAAGCCATTTCAAATCCTTTTGTGGTTTTGTGTCTGAGAACTTATTCTGAGTTAGAGAGAAAAAAACGAACCAAATGAATACTCTTGTTACCACAGTGCTGGTATAAGAACTTGACGAACGCAGATTTATAGATAGATACCCGTCAACCTGGAAAGACTCACAAGAGGCTACTTCTAGTTTAAATACTTATGAAAAATATGTTGTAGCCTCTTTGTCCCCCCGTTTAGCAGTTTATGAGCTGCTTTTCTCCTGCCACAGTCTTTCATTTAGCATGCCTATTGCAAGACAACAGCATGTGGCAATAAAAATGTGCCTAGAAATGTTGCTACTAAAAAGTCAACATATTGGGAAGCCAGTGCTCTGTGCAGTGATGAATTACCCTCAAGAGCACAGTTAAATTCCTCTTTGAAAGGCAGATGTTGAGATGAAGGAAAACTGGCATATGGGCTACATATGTGTAGTTAATTACAGCAAACATGGCAATGGTGGAAAAGGACAATTACTGTGAATCAGCATGCAATAGCTGGTGTCCCTTTGGTTACACTTTGTTGTTCTCCAAACACTGACAGCAAATGGAAGACTCTTGCTGGTCTATGCATCTCCCAATATATGTTAGACATGTAGATACCTGAAGTTAGAAGGGAAGCTGTGTTTGGATTTTGCTCAAAATTCGGACGTTGTGAAATAATGAGGAATGTGTGCATGGATTTCCAGTAGCTTAGCAGTAACTTCAAGCTGATGCTCATGCATGATGGGATAGGAAAGCCTGAGGTCAGTGTCAGATGTTCTTAAAATGGTGGCATTCCTCTGCTGATGTTTGGGGAAGTCCTTTTAGTGACTGTAGGCCAACAGTTACTAACAGTACCAGTGTTTAAATTGTATCCTTTTAACTATAGGGATACAAGTTATGATCAGATGGGCAGATCACAGCAGTACCTTGGGAACTAATTAAAAAGAAGAAAATGGGTGACTGGTAGACTACCTTCCGGTTAACATGGGCAAACAACATTTTGCCACTGCAGGCCACTGCTTGCTATCTAGTCTGTACTATGGACCAGACCCCTGCAACTTCTTGGCAATCGGCAGATGTCACATTGGGAATAGATAGACAAAGGCAGGCACTAGAACCCTGGAGATGCTGCTTCTGGTGTGGCAGCAAGACTACACTGAATGCGGCAGACAGTAAGACCCTGGGGATGCTTCCTCAGCTACTCAAGCTGGTCCAGGCTGCTGATTTCCTAAGATGCCACAGGCTGGATCTAACCTCTTCATGGGCCAACTTGTGGGCCGTAGACTGTCAACCCCTGGGTTAACATAGTACAAGAGAAATAGCTATCAAAATATCCCTTTTCACAGACTCATGGACAATAGGGCTAGAAGGGACATCAAAAGGCCATCCAACCCACCATTATGTTCCAGGAGAAGATCAGCTATACCTAAACCATTCCTGACAGATATGTGTCTAATCTGCTCTTGAAAACTGTTGCTGACCCAATCTCCCTAGGTAATCTATTCCAGTAGTTCATTATAGTTAGAAAGTTGTTCTTTTTGTCATGTCTAGCCTAAATCTCAGTCATTATAATTTCAGCCTATTACTTCTTGTCCTATTTCCAGTGAACACAGAGAACAATTTGTAACCTTCCTGTTCTATCAAAGTATTGCAGCTTGAGGGGAACAGAAGTTCAAACTGGGAGTGAGAGAGGGTTACATTTTGCATTCTGTCTTTGTCCAGATTCCAAGTGGAGGACTTACTGAAATCTGCCGAAAACCCGTATCCCCTGGACATATCACCTGTATATCTGAATGGCTGGTTTCCATTGGCCTACCCATGTATTCCAGCCCACTCACAGAAGCAGGCTTCAACACACTGAGTAAAGTGCCTTCTCTCTCACAAACTTGTCTTCAAGAAGCTGGCATCACAGAGGAGAGGCACATAAGCAAGCTCCTGGCAGCAGCAAGACTCTTGAAACCCCTCAATCCAGAGGCAATCTAACATGCTCTGGAAGGTGGTGCTGTCTGGTCGGGATCCCTGCTGCTTCTTACTGCACCAGTTTTGCCTAAATTTCTCCACACAGCAAAAGGGATCAAGCAAGCAGATCCCAGGAACAGGCAAATATCCTCTTCAGAAGATCTAAGACCTTCCTATTTCTGTCTTTGGCAACTAAAGGAGAAAAGAAACAACCACCAGGTAACAGAGGTGTGGTACTTCATAACTCCCTCTCCCCAAAGAAAAGACATAGCAACAGAATATTGCCAGTTCTTAACGTGCAGGGGGCTGGCCCAAGGCCCTGTGGGGGCTCAGTGTGGGATCTAAGCCTAAGGGTACCCTGGCAGGTTCTTCCCAAGTTTTTGGAAGCCATGCCAGTTTTAAGTCCTTATTCGGTGGAGAGGTCCCTATGAATGAGGGGTTTGTAAAATGCTGGACTCCGGGTACCTAGAGTCCGTTCTGAATGTTATGAACAAGTTGAAGTGCAACTCACGGTAGAAGCTGATTTGCAAATCTGGTTGGGTTTTATTTGTTTGTTTATTTGTTTGTTTTAGCGATCAAGTGCTTAAATACATACCCTTCTCATCCTCTGTGTTGCTTGGTATGGTTCCTCTAGGCTTAGAGCCTTCAGTGAGGCCAAAGTAATGGACTGGAATTAGTTTACAAATATTGACCATTTCTGTTGCTCCTGCACAACTAACCTGACAAACTAAAAAAAAATATATTCCTTTTTTTTTGTACAGAATGGAGATCATTTTTATAACTGCTTTCTAGCAATCAGCTTTTTTATTTGCCTTAAAATAAGCTTGCAAGCAGTTACCTTGTGCTCACTTACCTGTGTCCATGTTTCCCAAGCCTTGCTTCATCCTGCTGTTGTTACATGGCACTTAGGGCGATTTTCAGCTAAAGCTGCTTTCATAAATTGTCTCATTGTAACATCTTCTGTCTTCTTGTAGAGGTGCTTTTGCGAGTGCAGGATTATGCTGGGTTTTGGGTGTTGGGATAACTACTTTTTCGCTGCGGTCTACATTTGTTGTTGTTACTAAAATGTTCAAGATATCTTGCCTTGTATATATGTAACTGCTTTTCATTTTAATCATATTTTGTGTACTGTGTTATATTGTCAATCATTACGCTGCAGCTTTGACTTGGTATCCTGACCATATCAATCCCAAACATTGTTTACTTTAAATGAAAGTTTGCCCGTGGGAAATAAAAATGCACTGAAAAAACAAGCTGTGTCCCATAGAAAGTAATTTCACTGCATGGACAACCCCCTTCTCATATTTTATGCATTACCTTGTAATTTTACAAAAACTGATGTCCACCATTATTAAGTGTTGAAATTTCTTCTTATTGGAAGAAAGTATTGTTCTGGAATGTTGGACAAACCATTTTTGTCCATAATAGGATGATTCTATTTTCTGCCTAAAACAGTGTAAACTCTTCCATTCCCATGTGTGGATACTGACAGATTTTATTTTTATATGTGGGCACACATTTTATATACCAAATACAGATCATCGTGAATAGTATTTAACTAGATCTTTCTTAGTGTCTATATTCTACGTCTGTTTGTTTAACTTCCAGTATTGCCAGCTCTTCATGATAGACAGAGCAGCCTTTGCTTTTGCAGGTAAAGTGAGGGAGCTAGTATAGTGAAGTGAGCACAGGCATAGGAACTTGCTTGTGTTACCGAATCTTCTGCCAACTTACTATGTGACTTTGGGCCAGTCACTTCATCTCTCTGTGCCTCAGTTACCCCACACATGAAATGGGGCCAGTGAAGCTTCCCCTCCTTGACAAAATGCATTCAGACAGGTGAATGAAAATGATCATTAAGTGTACAATTCTTTATTAGTGCCAACCCTGTTTTGAGTCAGAGGTGCTGTGCATTTTACCTAAGTCAATACTTTTACTCTGAATGTGATGCTTAGGTGTTAGTTTTACCTACGTAACTTCCAATGTCACCAGCCCCGACTATTTTTGCTGTGATCACAGTACTAAATTCTTTCCTCAGAACAACATACCAATGTATCCAAGATAACTGGTTTACTAAAGTAACCTGAAATTTTTCTGGCTCCATAGCTCCTCTGGATTTTCTCTAAAATGTTGTTAGTGTGTTGTTCTGAGGGAGTGGATAACAAGTCAGCTTTAGTGTGGCACTACCAGGCAATGTTTGACATAATGGGATATTTTCCACAGGTGGCTGAAGCCTTAGAAAGTAGTGTGGGCCTCAGTTTTCTATAACAATGACTGTTCTGTCATCCCTCTCTGAGACTTGAAAGGAAGCCAATAGAAAGCAGTATCTGGAAGGAAACTTGAGATATCCAGGGATGCCGTAGAGCTCAGTAATAAGTTAGACTGGAGTGTACTTGTTAGGGGTGAGGTGGGCAGCTTAATGCAGAGTTTGAATATGAAATGTTGTCTGATATGGAAGGAAGAAGACTTCCACTTACTATGGGGAAGAAAAGTAACAGTAGAAAAATCCCCAACTTTAATTTCTTTTTGTTACCTGACTAATATCAGAAGGAGATATCTACACCAGAAAAAGAAACGGTTCAAATCTCTGAACCTGTCCAAGTGCCAAATAATCTTTGTAATGCCTATGCCTTTTGAATGATTGCATAGCATGGGGAAGTCATATCACACCCATCTGAGCCGGCTTTGAATAGCTTGATTTTTTTTGTTATTTTTAATATTGCTTTTCTGATCTGGTTTTCAGATTGTGCTATTTGATCATTTTTTAGTTGAAATTTTAATATATATTTTGATCTAATAAAGGCCTTAAATTTCTCAGTGTGAGCTTCTCCTACTGAGGTTTCAGGGACCTGTGGAGCTCAATGAACAGGTAAGGGATTGTGTAGTGAAACAGTGACCTAATCCTTATCATTTCTCCTTGAAGTGGAGCACTCAAAATACAAGCTAGTTTGTTGGCTGTCGTGAAGCACAGTAGAAGCCTGCTGAGAAAAATCTTGCTCTGCTCTGTTCAAGACTGTTATGTATCCACTGTGTACAATTCTAACTTGAAAGACTATTCGGTAAAGGAAGCAGCAAGCGCACATTTATAAACAAGCAACATTACTATTGTAAGCTCCTATTAATACACCTTAATCACTATCTGAGTAGCTACAAAGTTCTAAATGTCCCAGACGCTGTGCTCTTTTATGAGTCTGGTTTTGGATGCAAATGGGAGCATTGACATATAATCAGAGGCATTAAGTGTTATGTTATTCAGCCAGGTCATCGTCCCTAAGAGCAGCAATAGAAGTCAAATCACCAAGTCATGGCTGTGCAGTTGTACTGTATTATTTTTAGAAGAAATAATACTTTTGTCCAAGATACTTTTATCCTTAATTGACATCCTCTGGGTAAACAAAACTGTCAAGCAAGTTCTGTAACAACTAACAATGTTGCACTTTCTGTATATGAAATCAATATTTAAATAACTTATTTTTCTCCATTTGCTGTTCTTAAATGATGTAAGTAGCTGTAATATACCAGTACTCAAATGTCCTTGCAGTTGCTTCAACCCAAGAAAGCTGTGTATTGTAAAGAAAAAAAACAACAAAAAACAAATTATGAATGTGTAAAGATTATTGTGCTGTTTCATTTAGCAAACAAAATGGTTGACAAAAGGGTTTTCCTGTGTATCAAACTTGTCTATAATTATATGTCATACTGTTCATAGACAAAAAGTAAATAAATTTACTCAGTCTCATATGTCTCTTATTTTTTATTTTATTTTTTTTGAACTCCTAATTCTCAAAAGTTGACTAGAATGGAGAAAGCTGCTGCTGCTAGTTGAAAGAAGAGTAAATCAAAATCTTACTGTGATTTATTTTCCCCAAAAGAAGCAAGGCTTGGATGGTAATGTATTTTACTGGACTAACTGTATAGGTAGGGGAGAGGTTAGACAAAGTTTCAAGTACAAAATACCCTTCCCCTCCCTCAGAAGAAGATGATACAGCCTAAACTGAATACCAGGTAAATTCCTTTTGTTTAACTTAGTGGTGCTCAGCCTCTGGCCTGCGAGTTGAATTTGGCCTATGGGACCATGTCATCTGGCCCAAAGGGCTCCCCATAGGTCCAGAAATTTGGCAGCAGAGGAGCGGTGGCAGCATTAATTGCTGTGGCTCTGGAATCTGTGGCAATTAATGCTGTTACCACTCCCCCGCTGCCAAATTTCTGGACCCGTAGGTCAGATGATGGGTTGTGAACACATAGGGTTGGGCCATGGCTGGATCCAACGTGCAGAGTCAGTTCATTTCATGGGTTTGGGCCACAGCCAGATCCAGTACACTGACCCCATGCTAGACCAACCCTGCCCATGGGATCCAGCCCGCAAACCAACCCCACTAGCCAGTGGGGCTGGAAGGTTGAACACAACTGGCTTAATTCAATAATGTAAATGAAAATGGTCATTTAAAGAAGAGGAAGAGGGCACTATACCTGGTGAACAAATAGAAGCTATCAGAAGTAGTTATGCATCTAGTAAAGGGCAGGTGAAATAGAGTCACCAAATTACATACAAGATCATTCAAAAGAAAAAAGGGTCATTATTATGAGCTGCCAGGCATAAAACACTAATTTTTCCCAACTATATAACTGGTCCAATAAAAAACATTACCAAACAAACCTTCCTTTTCATATATTTGTTGGACTGTGACAGCTACACCACCCTTTCTCTGACAGTATACAGCCATGATTTTCATAGCTGAGTACCTCATGTCAGGCATATGACTATTTTTATGGGTGCTGCATGCTTCAGTATGTGTTGTAGATGTTCATGATACTTGAAAATTAGTCAGTTTTTTAGGTGACTAAAGGACCAGATTCATAATAGGAACTACATGGGCAAACACCTCGTGGGGCAGGATGGCTCCTTCAGAGAGTTTGATTTAGAGGTCTTCAACTATTTAGATGTCTTCCATGGTTTGAGGCCACCTGAGTGGTCAGGTAAAGACCTTCAAGCAACCTGGTCTTTTTATAAATGGTTGACAAGCAACTCCAGAGATAATTATACCCATAGGGATCAGGTAGGTCCTTGCAAATCAGGGGAGAGAAACTGATTTATGCTAAAATGCTTTGGTTTTCACTTGGAGTAATTAAAACCCAGTCCCAAAGAAATGGGACTGAAGTCCTGTGCTGCCTGGAGTACAACAAGAATCAGTGGTCAGACTGGATCTGGCAGCTTTGGAAGACCTTTCCATTCATGTAAAGCTTGGTACTGATTTTTCTTCTGTTAGAAGTCATGAGCACAATTTTTTCTCCAATAGCAAAAAAAAAAAGAAAGAAAGAAAAAAGAGGAAAAAACACTCCAATATGTAGAAACTATTGGATAAAATGAGAATGAGCTCAAACCTAATAAAACCAAATATTCTTTAACAGAGAAGTTTATTTGAGCAAATCCTGTCAGGGGTTCAACTGTCAGGTCCAATCTGGGTCAATTTAAAGTAATCCTAAATTTGATTTCTATCAGTTTAAGAAACCCTTCCAAGAAACAGTCATGCAGTACATGTGCCACTTTACACATGTTAATAGAGCTGTCACTTTGAAGTATTATTTAAGCCTTTTATCACTGCCTTCCCTGAAAGCATGATTTCTTGTGTGAACTCAAACCATGCGACTCATTAAAGGCATCCATTAAAACTACACGGACTTCACAATGGCATGAAATTAACATTTGTCTTTCTACACTGTTATCCACTCCCATTAGTTTTATAGAACCCGAACACATATTAGCCACTTTTTTTGATGAATAAAAGTGATCTTGGGCCAACCCAGGTCCCATTTACTGGGCCCACAATCCCCTCCCTGAAAAACATTATGATTCAAGATTAACAGTCACTCGTATCTTGATCGAGGAGTGCATAAATGAAAGGTAACAGACTAGGTCCACCTAGTGCTCATGTGGGACCTTACTGCTCATGTAGGAATGAATCTAAGCGCAAAGTGTAGACTTTCTAAAATATTACTCAGTTTGTCCCTGCACTTGGCAGTTCCTAAGTTTCCACCTGTAAAGTTTCCTAGGCTCCAAAATGTTTAATCAGTTCACATTATGCCTAGAACTGTTAAGACCTGAAGGTGCTACACAGCAAGGCTACACAATCGAAGTCCTGTCAGTGTTTCCTTGCCTAACTACAGAAGCCTAACTTGGTAGGGATTCTCTGAGTACATCTATTAAATCAACCGTGACAGAAGGTAGATGGTGCCTTACTTTTGTCCAGCAGCTCCATGTTCTAAGCTTTCATCCAACATGTGAAAGAGCCAGATTCAATGCCTTCTTTGGTCTGTGTGGATCTGAACCTTCAAATCTCCTCTCCCAAATTAATGTCTAGCTCCTGTATTATAGGGTGTTCTCAGGTAAGTGCCTGCCAAAAGTGCCTTCTGTTGAATCTGTTCCAGTTGATATAAAATAATTAAATATTGAGTGAGAGGGCAAGTGAGTACTTGAACATGATGCTATAACCTCATAAGGCACTTAATTTAGAGAAAGGTAGACTTGGGTTCCAGCCCCAACTCCAGTAAATCCTTAATGGAACATACTTAACCATTCATTAGGTTGGCGTAGGCACTTGACTACAGCTGTGGGCTCTTGTAGAGGTAGATACCTCCCTGCAGCCCAAAGTAAGATGACTGAATTATTGAATGGGGCCTGGGGCTCTCTTGAGCATCTCTTATAACTTGGGAAGCTTCCTCTTCAGGAGACTGGTGTTTTTGGATCTCATTTGTACACAATTAACATTTCCCACATGGAACCCTTGGTGCCCATTAAAGAGCTCTGGACTCTGCCAAGTAGCAAGACAGCTAAAAGATAGTCCTTTCATGGACCTAGCCAAATGTGTTCAGGGCAGGCCATGTCTGAGTTAGTAAAGCTTGCCTGGCCGGCATTTCAAGTTAGGTGAATTAAGACAGGCACATGGCTTGGATCCACACAGTTGCATCATCTACTTCCACTTAAGCAAATCCTCTAGTCAAAACTATTCAGCCTTGCTAACTGTAGCATGTAGGATCAGTGGTGTTTACTGACTTGTCAAATGCAATCTTTTTATCTTTCTCCGTTATCTAGTTCAGTTCAGGGCCTATACCAGTTACCCAATGGTTGCTGCCATGCACATGCCTGCCATTCCTGCAGCTGGAAGGTGTGACACTTCTCTTGCAAGACTGCTGCAGCCCATGATCCCTTAAAGAGCAACTGAAACACAAAGCCTATGAGCATTGCTCTTTGCTAATGCTGTTTACCTAGTAGCGTGCTGTCATTGCCGACAACCACCAGAAAAAATTACCCCCAGTTCCTGAAGATATGACAGAGCTTTGGCAGACGTAAGAAAAAGGCAGCTGTTAACATTTCTCCTGTTAATTCTCCTACAAAAGGAAACTTTATGCTGAGGATCATACACGAAGCCTTACAAAGGTTTAAGTGGTTTGAATGTAGTCTTATACATTCCATTGGAACTCCATAAGATGAACATTGCGGTAGCAGGGTTAAGTGTGTACAACTCAGTGATAAAGCAAATATTATCCTTGTGATCATAAGTATGCTCCTTTGTGTTTATGCTATTCTTTATCACAGACTTTAACTTTATGATCGCATACCAGAGTTTTTTGAGGAGGCTTTCCTACAACTTCATAGGAGCAATTATTTATGCTTAAATCTTGTCTGTCTGTGTTTGCTGATGTATTGAAAAATACTGCTAGTGTTGGAGGCATTGAAGTCTAGAGGAGTTGTGACTCATGCTGGGCTTTGGGATTTGCCCCCCTTCCTCATCTCCCCACACCCCCCCCCCCCCCACCCCCCCCCACTGAACAGGAAATATATAGATGTGGAAGTGAAGTTGTAATAAATTCTTCTGAAATAAATCATCCTGTAAGCGATTTCAGGAAGTTGTTCTGTCTATGCATTCTCTAAAGATTAAGTGAGCCCATGGACTTCCAATTTTAAGGCAGTTATTAGTACTCCCAATATGGCATATTTAGGATGGGGATAGGCACCAAGCTTCTCAGACTGGGCCAGTTCAGGTGCTTAGGGAAAGCTAGGACAGAGAGTTAGTTAGTGAACTTAGGTAACTCCTGGGTTAGTTAATGGCTAAATGGCAGGTTTTGTTTTGTGGGGTTTTTTAATCACAATTTGGGACTTCCAGGTAGCTCAGTTCTGTCTTTTTAGGCACCTAGGTCCTTGGTTGTACATGGCTCTTAACCTGGCCCCATCCATTATCAGTCCCTGAAGGTCTGATCAGGAAAATGAAGGTTTGGACCTTAATATGAGAAGGCAAGTTCCAGTCTAGCTGTCAAGGGCGTGTGTGGGAGTCTAATGTGCACATTTCATCATATTTGGCTGATTTGCATTTGTGAAGTGTCCTGATCTGAAATTCCCACTAATTGTTTCCATTTAACCATGAAAACAGATAACAGCAAAGCCAGCAAAACAAGTTTCCTAAATAATATTCCTATCAATATGCCTCAATCCTGACCTGAAGTGGACAGACTAAGTAGGAGAAAGTAGTTCTGTCATGTCTATAGTCCTTTGGCTACAGAGAATTCATGTTATAACTACCAACCAGTTAAAATGATTATTTTAATAGTCTACTAAGGCACTGCTAGACAGCCTTAAAAAGATTCAAACCACTGACAAAGATGTATCCAGTTCGTAAATTTTCATCTCTCTTCCTGGAAGGCTTATCTTTTTGGGAGGTCCATGCTGGTAAAAAAAAAAAAAAA